TTTTTCTCTTAACATCACTGGGTGGACTTGGTCGGAGTGTAGGCAGTCAATATTTGGTGGGAATCACTTTCAGGGAGATATATTTGTATCTCTCACTCTCAAATAGATTCTGACTGATGAACTGCTTGAAAACGGTTAGTTATTAACTGCTCAGATAAGCAGAAAGAGTATTTATTGAAAAGAACACGGAATATGTTTAAAAGTTTAACATGAAAATTAAAAGCATTACAAATTTCAATGGATCTTAAGGGAAATCAAATGATTTGGTGCTGCATTTGTAATCTAAGTTTATCAGCAATGACCCACTTTTTATGTGAGGTGCTCAGTCTGTTTTACTTCGTTATTCTTGCTAGTTTATTGTTGCTGTTATTTGTTTGTTTTGTACATCTACAGACATAGTACCTGGATTAGTTGTTCCTTGGGGGTATGGTAGGGGAGGTTATGGTCAAGTGGGGATTTAAAAACTGAGTGCAGTAATGAAGATAATATTCTAAAACCGATGGAGATGGTGATTGTACAACTCTTCTTGATGTGATTGAACTTTTGAATTGTATGATATGTGGATTATATGCCAATAAACCGTTTGGGGAAAATAAGTCAAAGAAAACCCCATGAAGAAGAACAACAGAAAGTGTACTTACTCAATGAGGTTGAAAGTTTTCTGTTTGAGACACACAAGAAAGTGGTTGAAAGTTTGACATTGAGAAGCTCAACAAACAAAATTAAACAAACCCTGAACCAGTTGCTGTCAAGTTGATGCTGACTCATGTCTGTGCCGTGTGACCGACCACAACTAGGACCAATAGGTTCCATTGACTTCAGTTTCTATAGAAGCAGATTTCCCACACCGTGTGCTCCTGCCAGGTGGACTCAGACAGCCAAACTTTCAGCTCGTAGTTGAGCACAAACCTCCCAGGGACCACTGTGTCCAGAGACAGGACACGACATAATCTGGTGAGCTAGAATTGTGAGGACTTGTACACACTTTTGACGCTGGCTTTACTTGTTGCCCCCCAGGACAGAAAAAGTTTTCTCTTTGACTTGAATCGACAGGATGTATCCTCGTATTGTTTTTATCCCCCTAGTATGCAGCCATTATGGTAAACTTTCAAAAATAAGTTGTGAGTCATTGAAAGCAGTGTTGGGGAGTGTTGGGGATGCACAATTTAAGGGCTTGACAGCTACCTGAAAGGTTAATAGATGGAACTTACTGCATTTATATGAGAAGAAAGGCTGTGATTTCCTTAGGTAAAGATGACAGTCTTGGAATGCAAATGGGCAATTGGACTTTGTGTTCTAGGGCCATTGAATCAGGATCATTAGGGTCATTACCAGTCTGGATCACTAGGGACATCATGAGTCAGGATCCCTGGACAACAACAATAAAATATTCAATATCACTTAATAACGACAAAATAGTAATAGTCAATATTATTACATGGTAAGATACTATTCCTTCATGCAATATTATTGAACCATTATCAATGATTCTTCTCTTTCACACTCCCTACTCTCTGTGTAGCAAGAGTTGTGGGCTGGGGTTCATGAAAATTTCTCAGGAAGGGCAGCCTTCCTGCTGCTTTGATTGCATTTCGTGTCCAGAAAGAAGAATATCTAATCAAACGGGTATGAACTGACAAAATTCTGCCAGAAATTTATCTAACTTCTTATGAAACTTAAGAAGCTCTGGGTAGCACAAACGGTTAAGCATCAACTATATTCTCAACCCACTCAGAGGTACCTCAAAAAAAAAAGGCTATTGATCTCCTTCTAGAGATCAAAGACACAGAACATCCGATGAAGCAACGTTCAGCCCTGCACTTCTGGGGATGCCTTGGGTCGGGTTGACTTAATGGCAACAAAAAACTATTTTGACCGGTCACATAACTTGTCATGGACAGATGATACTGGGGTTTTAAAATCAGAGTTATCAGGTGGATATAGAGAAAATTAAAATAAACCAAAACCTTTTTAAATGACCGTGGTGAAATTTAAAAGATGTTGACGTTTGCTCTGTCTCATATTCCCTCTCACTTTTCTCTCTATATAGTGAAAAATGTACAGAGTGCCCCCATAATTAGTATCCCAACATGGAGCGGAATCGCTGCCTACCCAAAACTGTGACCTTCCTGGCTTATCAAGACCCACTGGGGATGGCTCTGGCCTGCACAGCTCTGTGCTTCTCTGTCATCACTGCCATGGTTTTGTGGGTCTTTGTGAAGTACCGAGACTCTGCCATAGTCAAGGCCAACAACCGCACCCTCAGCTATGTCCTCCTCCTCTCCCTCCTCTTTTGCTTCCTCTGCTCCTTACTCTTCATCGGCCGTCCAAACACAGTCACCTGCGTCCTCAGCAATATCTCCTTCACAGTCATATTCACTGTGGCTGTTTCCACTGTTTTGGCCAAAACCATCACTGTGATTCTGGCCTTCATGATCTTGAGACCGGGGAGAATTATGAGGCAG